GGGGGGGGGGGGGTGGGATTTTCTGAATTTTAACAAAGCTAGGAATTTGATGTTTTAGGTGGAGAAACGCTACTTTTCGTTCAATCTTTGTTGTACTTTAAATCTGCTTTGTTTTAGTTTCAAGGTTGAAAACTTCTCTCAGCTAAGCGATTCCGCTCTCTCCCCACATTGTATCATCAGGAACCTTCCCTGGAAAATCATGATTATGCAGAGACAAAACCAAAACCAGGTTTGATTCGTTTATTCATCACCTCCCGTTCTAGTCTTTAAGTGTCAAATTATGAGAGCTACCGAGCTTGACTTGATAAATCTCCGAGGATCATTAATACCAATATAATGATAGTAATCAATTTAACCTGCGATTCATCCCATATAATTTAAAAATTTTTATTAATTAATTTTATCAGTTTATTTTAATTTTCATGCTTGATCTAATATACACACAAATTGTCCCTAAGTTCTTAATTTGTTTTTGGTTAAAAGCCACTTAAAATTGGGTAAATCTGCAAAGTATGACTCTGTTTAGATTTTAAACACCGGAGCTCAAAACCTGTAGTTCACACTGCAGTATCTAGTTTGACACTATCTTTTTTTCTCAAATTTTCCACTGAATATTACAGGAAAGATCTGGAAAGAGTCTTGGCTATTTTCTCCAGTGTAATGGAGAGAGTGAGAGTGGCGCCTGGTCCTGTAACGCTAACGCAGAGCTGCGTATGATCAACCAGAAGGACGGGACTAAATTCAAGAGAAATATTTTCCATCTATTCTACAGTAAAGAGAATGACTGGGGTTTCTCTCATTATATGTCCTGGAATGATGTTCTTGACCCAGAGAAAGGGTTCATTAAGGTAGAATATAAATGCAAAATTATTTAAAAATATTTCCAGAACAATTTGGTTTACTCATTTAAGAAAATTATTTTTGTGTTTCTTTTTTTCTATAAATCCCTGATATCTATGATGTCGTTAATAGATTTTGCCAGAGATGAATATTTTATACGGTTTGGGAGGTGAATGTGTGAATGTGAGTAAATATTGGGATAAAGATAAAAAAACAATGAACAGGACAGTTTTATAAAACAAAAACATAAATATTAAAGAAAAATATAGATGTTTTGATACTTTTTTGGAAAATATATGATTTTGTGGTGGAAATGAATACGTTTTTGCAAGGGGACATTTAAAATAATCATAATGAATTATTAATGAAACTTGGCTTTTAGAGCACTTCGCGCCCATCTTCTATTCCAATTGTGAACATTTTCTCTGTATACATGTTAAAACAAAAACAATGTAAAAAATAATTTCGTGGATTTTCAAAATTCCATAAACCTCCCTAGGGTCACGTGATGTCCCATACAATGTGGGCCTGATCGGTTCAGCCGTTTGACGTTTATTGGATAAAATTAAACAGACAGACAAGCAAAGTATTGATTTATTTTTCAGGATGACACGGTGATATTTGAAGTGAAGGTGAACGCTGATGCTCCTCATGGTGTCTCCTGGGACAGTAAGAAGCATACAGGATATGTTGGATTAAAGAACCAAGGAGCAACATGTTACATGAATTCTCTACTACAGGTATCGATGGTGGAATTTCTTCTCATTTTTAATGAAGTAAATTGATATTTCCGTAAAATAAACAAACGCTGTTCAAGTTATTGAAAACAAAGACTAATTTTAAACATTTTTAGATCAATGAATTTACTTATAATTATTTACAAAACCTTAGTACATACTTCCTGCGTAATTTAACCGGAAACACGAAGAAAATAGTTTTTTCATAGTTTGTAATATCTAAGGTCAATGACATCGGGTTGCAAAGATGTAGGGATTAAAATCAGAGTTTAATGTAAAAATATATATGTCACCCTTAAAGCACTTTTATTGAATTTAGATTAAATGTAATTTAGAGGAAGTAAAAAACGAATATGAGATTGAAATATTTATTCAGGATTAATATATTATTGTACAAAAATGTAAAAAATATTGCTTCATAATCTTGTTCTCTGCATAATCTTCACTCTTGATGCTGTTTGATTTGTGTTCTGTTCCGTGTTAAAACCACTAGATAATTGCTTGATACGCTTCTTGTCTTAAAGGGCTGCCGGCCACTGGGACGCATCACTTACGCATGGTTGTTAAATACTGTGCGTCAGTCCGAATACATTCTAGGCCGCATGGTGATGCGCTGCTCTCTGATTGCAGGACGAGGGTTCCATGTCGGGTTCCCTTTTAGATAATTCTGTTATTACTTAAGAAATGTAAACTATCTCCAAGAGTTGAAGCAACTTCATCCGTAAAACAAACTTCAGTTCTCGTTCTAGTCTCCCACTCCTCTAGGTTAAAGGATAGCACGCCCTCAGGGGATTTATCCCGTGCTTGTCTCCTTGTCTCCCATTCCTTTAGGTTAAATGTTAGCACGCTTTCAGGGGATTTATCCCGTGCTTGTCTCCTTGTCTCCCACTCCTCTAGGTTAAAGGTTAGCACGCTCTCGGGGGATTTATCCCGTGCCTGTCTCCTTGTCTTCCACTCCTCTAGGTTAAAGGTTAGCACGCTCTCAGAGGATGCTTATTTATAAATTGNGTTAGCACGCTCTCGGGGGATTTATCCCGTGCCTGTCTCCTTGTCTTCCACTCCTCTAGGTTAAAGGTTAGCACGCTCTCAGGGGATTTATCCCGTGCTTGTCTCCTTGTCTCCCACTCCTTTAGGTTAAAGGTTAGCACGCTCTCAGGGGATTTGTCCCGTGCCTGTCTCCTTGTCTTCCACTCCTGAAGGTTAAAGGTTAGCACGCTCTCAGGGGATTCAATCGAACCACTCACAGATGGTAAGATCTTCTCCATGTGTACTGGAAGCTTGACGGACTGGTTGCATCGTCTCTTGAGGGTTTTGTACAGTGAGTAAGCTCCTACACACAAGGCAAGGGCTGCTGCAACTAATGGTAGTGTGAAGGTAAAAGGAAAGCAAGGATTCATGCTGTTTTCTCAGTTCTTGTAATTTAATACTACTGCAGTTCTTGGTCGAATATGAGTAGTGAAGAGGAACCAAGAGCACACGGTTTATATAATAATCCCTTCCCCCCCACCAATGACCCCCTCCCTCCCCACTAGGCCTTCATTTGTTAACGCATTTTTTCTCAGATTTGAGATGACCCTTTACAGTAGATGACGAATTATATAAAAATAAATGTCGTTTGGAGATAAAAATCAAAAAGTGAAAAAAGAGGTTGATAAAATATTAATTTCACAAACAAATTCTTCAATGGTTTGAAATTTTCTAGGTTCTATATTTCTAAATTATACTCCGGAAACTAATAGTCAAATATATTCTAGTTTTTATATTCCTCAAATATACTTCGGAAACTAAAAGCTTAATATATTGAAACTAATAGTTTAATATATTCTAGGTTCTATATTTTTCAAATATAATCCTGAAACTAATTGTGTAATATATTCTTTGTTCTATATTTCTTAGATATACTCCTTTCTTTATATCTCAAACATACTTCGTACTAATACTTAAATATATTATAGTTTCATTATTTCTCAAATATACTCCTGAAACTAATAGTTTAAATATATTCTAGGTTCTATATTTCTCAAATATACTCCGAAAACTAATAGTTTCATTTATTCTAGGTTCTATATTTCTCAAATATACTCCTGAAACTAATAGTTCAATATATTCTAGGTTCTATATTTCACAAATCTACTTCGGAAAGCAGTTTACAAGATGCCAACAGAGTCAGATGACAGTCAGAAGTCAGTTGGATTAGCTCTGCAGAGAGTGTTCCATGAACTCCAGTTCCTTGATAAACCTGTTGGAACTAAAAAATTAACCAAGGAATGAAAATTTCATCTGATGAAGCAAAAAAAGCTTGTATCCCCTCCTCTTCTTCAATGCTGTTCAAATTTAGTGTAAAATAAATTGTTGGTTAATTTTTTTTTCCAGCAGAAAACTCATTTAATACTTACAGGGTTACAAAGAAAGGATGATACTGTAAAGACGACTTAAAACGCTTCAAATAGTCTTCCGTCTGAAATACAGTCTTCTATTGGTTTATTAAATGATTTGACAAAGAAAGTAACAAGTTTCCAGTTGCAGGGAATCGTGCAAATAAGGAAATTGACAGTATAAATTCTATACCGTCGTCTCTCAGTCTCATTCTTTCTGAATAATCCTATAGTATATTCTTTGGGCTTTCGTGGATTTGTTCGTAATATTTTTACGACTTTAATTGAACACGGAGCTTTTTTTCAAAATAAAACCCCTTCTTAGAATCCATCAAACGAATGGATTATTAATGGATATAGAATATAAATGAGGTTTAAGTTAATTCAACTTGAAGGGTTGAGATTGTTATTCTGAGAATTCTATCAATTTTCAATCTAATTCTAATAATTGGAAAATATTTTTCTTCAGAAATTCGTTTAATCTGGAAAGGTGAACTATTAACCTAGATAAAAATTGTATATTTTTACAAAACAATGATCATGGTTTTGAGCCAATTTAATTTTTCAAGGTTTTAAAAAGTTCCATTAATTACCAAGCCAATTTGGAATATTTTAAATAAGGTGAAATTATTTTTTTTTTACCGTGTCCTCCTGTTTGGCGAATGTAAATATTTGACATGGTTACGGATGGGGTGGGATAGGGACAAATTTGGTATGAAGCGCTATAAAGTTTTGGACATAAAGTTTCTCTTCATTGATCAGGCATTTTTCAACAAAGCAATAATAAATGTGAACGTTAATTTCAATTTTTATCTTCATTTAAATTGAAAGATTAAATAGAAATGTCCTAGTTTGTTTTATATAGATTTTTCGGGAACTAATTAAACTGAAAAGGTAAGATGGTATCGTTGTAAATCGGGGATGCTTTTTTTAAATGGATGGACACCAGAAATCACAAGAACATTTTCTTTAATAACTGTTATTTAGCCAGAACTTGAAGAATTCCCTTTTTCAATCTTAACCTTAAACTGATGATTTTCCTGCAGAGTTTTGGTTGGGAGACCCTGGACAGCTTTATGCAGCACGACGTTCAGGAGTTCCTCAGAGTCCTTCTTGATAAACTAGAAATAAAGATGAAGACGACATGTGTTGAGGGAACCATTCCAAGGTATTGAATATTTTAGTGGTTTCGAGCCATAAACTACAATGATAGGACAAGAGAAGTTGTTGTTGCTTTAGTTCACTGTTAACTTAAATGTGCACGTTTCGCAGCAAAAATCTTCGAATTTTGCCCAAACAAATTTTTTTTAAAAGTTCTTCAGCGACCTTGTAAAATCCGATTTAATTCAATGTTCGCAAATTATTTCTAAAACTGCATTCTATTTTGCTTAAACATTGATTTAAAAGACTATCCGTGATAGGATTAGGTCAGGGTAGTCTGAAAAGTCAAGTCTAGTCATTGGACTGGAAAGAGATCATTTAGGGGTTGGTGTAGACTGTATTTTATTTGTGTTGGGTTTAGGGCCTTTGTATTAAGACACAAATAAAAAAGAAGAGAAAATTAAACTTAATTTTAAACCATATTATTGACAAAAATATTTTAATAAATAATCTTGTTTCTTAGCTAACTTTTCTATAGATTGTTTGAGGGTAAGATGATGTCGTATATCAAGTGTAAGAACGTGGATTATAAATCTACTATGTCGGAGAGTTTCTACGACATCCAGCTGAATATCAAGGGGAAGAAGAGCATCCTGGAATCCTTTCATGATTATATACAAACAGAAACATTAGATGGAGATAATAAATATGATGCCGGAACCTTTGGACTTCAGGTAACAGCCTATTTGAAATCAAGGTCTTGTTGCCGGCTTGAGAAATATAAAATAAAACTAATTATTTCTTTTGAAAAATGATAATATGTTTTAGAACCTCAGGTTCATGGCCTGGTTTTATTTTAAGTTTAGGTTTTAGTGACATATTAGTCCAGGTTCAGAGTAAAGTTATGTTTTTATTTTTTTTATGAATTCACGTTTTTAAAGGTTGATATTAGTATCAATTTGGTTTAAAATCAAGATTCTAGTTCAAGATCGGGATCAGGTCCGGGTTCAGGTTCAGAATAAGGTTAAAAATCAAATTCAAATTCATATTAAATATTATGCTATGGGTTGAATCAATGATATTTGTTAAAGGTTTAGTAAAAGTTCATGGTTTAGATCAGGTTAAGTCTCATGTTTAGGTTTCTCAAGACTAAAAGTAAGGTTTTATCTTGAGACTTTGGTTTACATTGAAGTTTAGTTTCGAGGATTATGCTTGACTTGAGGTTTTGACTATGGTTGAGTTTATGATTGACTGAATGACTGAATGTTTATAAGGATGCTGAGAAAGGAATAATATTTGAGAAGTTTCCTCCGATCCTTCATCTTCATCTTATGAGGTTCCAATACGATCCTATCACAGACTCATCCGTCAAGTTCAATGATAGATGTGAGTTCTCCGAGGTTCTAGATCTTTCCAAGTTTCTCCAGGATCCATCAGGGGACACGGAGGAGTACAAGTACAGACTGCATGCTGTTCTAGTTCACAGGTACCTACACAGTATCAAATATGTACAGAAAAGTACAATATATACTGCAAAATATTTAAAACAAGCAAGTTTTATGCTTTTATGCTATCTTATAGAAAGTTTATTTAGCAATTTAGACTGATCATTTTTTAGTCCTTAGTATTAACACTGAATATTTCAACTATCCTCTACAGAACACACAAGGCTTTGGTTTTCACTGTTTGGAATAGAAACAGACACAGTCGAAACAGAAGAAAAATCGTTCACACAAATATATTATACTATCTGAAGGTCCCGTGGAATTTTAAAAACACTGCGAAAAAATTTAAAAAATTGAAGAATAAACGAGTTTCCTTAAAAAAAGATAAAAAATTCTGGTCCAGCGGTTTTGCCAGCCATAGCTAACATATTTATGAGCGAAGATTATTTAATAAATTAGTTTGTATTTCAGTGGAGACAACCATGGTGGACACTATGTAGTGTTTATAAACCCCCTGGGTGACGGAAGCTGGTGTAAGTTTGACGATGATGTTGTGAGTAAATGCACGAAAAAAGAGGCAATAGAACAGAACTTTGGTGGGGATAGTGAGGATACCACAGCTGTACGCCACTGTACCAACGCGTACATGTTGGTGTACATTCAGCAGACGAGGTTAGACGAAATACTTGGAAAGGTCGGGGAGGAGGATATTCCAGAGGCTCTCAGTTCGAGGCTGCAAGAGGAGAAGAAGTTGGAGGCCATCAGAAGAAAGGAGAAGAATGAGGCGTATCTTTACATGACTGTCAAGGTAAAAATAAACAGATTAAAAAAGAATATTTCTTAACAAGTTATGTAAATAATTATTTCCGATTTCTTTGTAAAAATAACGTTTAATCCCATGATGTTATGAATTTGTGCGCAAAGTGAAAACAAATGAAAAAAATACTTTTTGGAAGAAATGATTTTTTGGGAAACGTATTATCGTGTTGTCATTTTATTTCCCTGGGATAAAAATTTAAAATATACATAATATAGACTTCATTGCTTGTTGTTTAAGAATTTATTTTTGACGTTGCAAATCGTTATTTTTCGGGGGTTTTTTACTTCAAGCGATTTCTAGACATTTACCACTTCAGATTTGTGAGATTTGCTTATTTTTAAGTTTATTGATTGATTGGTTTGGTTTATCTGAATAATTGATTGATTGAATATTCTGAAGATTGTTCTGGAGGATTCCTTCTATGGTCATCAAGGCAACGATCTATTTGATCCTGAAACTGTTCCAAGTATAGAGTACAGAGTGAAGAAGGCCTCCACGTGTAAGGAGTTCATGAACATGCTTGCGGAGGAGTTCAGGTATGAGTGGAATCTCAAAGCAAAACCAATTCTCATTTTTCATCTTCATTTGTTCTAGGTATCACTTTTTTTAGCATCCAACCTACCTTTATACTAAATTGCAATTAGTAACGATGGCGATTAAACCAATTGCAATCAAATTAGTTACAATCAGTAACAACTGCAATCTGTTACAATTGCAATAGATAAAAAAATAGCAATCATTGTTGATAGCAATCAATACTCAGTTGAAATCAAAATAAGTTGCTAGGATGGGTCGATTCTAAGAACTTTACCAAAAAATTAATCAAACTTAAAAAAATGGCAAGCTGAGTGTCATTCAAAGAAAATGATAAATAAAAAATCACTAGTGGGACCGATAAAAAAATCAAAAGATGTTTGATATATGGCCAAAAAACGAGTTTTTCCGGGACTCTGCTAAATTTTCAATACAAAAACCAGATTTTTTAGACAGGATAAGACCCAGGCCTTTAACTATCCTAATATACAGGTGTAGAGTAGACAGGATAAGACCCAGGCCTCTAACTATCCTAATAAACAGGTGTAGAGTAGACAGGATAAGACCCAGGCCTCTAACTATCCTAATATACAGGTGTAGAGTAGACAGGATAAGACCCAGGCCTTTAACTATCCTAATATACAGGTGTAGAGTAGACAGAATAAGACCCTGGCCCCTAACTATCCGGAATAATCAGACAATGCGACCAACTCTAGCGGAGATGGATGATGGTGAGAGAAGTATGACAGAGGTAAAGATCCCTTTATTGTAACCCCCCACCCCCCTCGATTTTTTAGTGTATTTGCCTTTAGGAATCCTTTTAACATTTTAACCTATTTTCTGGAGTAATCTTTGAGTGCAGTGGTCAAAAATATTTTAGTTTAGCAAATTTATTTTCATTCCGTCACTTCATAAGAATCTTCTATCATGATAATCCAGCAACACACATAGATTTTACATTAAATCTGGTTTTAAAGTGAGGTTTAAGTTTTAGTTTGGTTCAAATCCAATAAATCTCGGGAGTGATAAAATCCCTAGATCCAGATCACTGAATACTAAGTGTCTTTTCAAACTTAATTTTCAAGGTTTCTGGTTTAAATTGAAGTTTACTAACATTTAGAAATCCCTTTCCTAATTCCTTTCTGCGGATCGAAAGTGTGGAAAACGAAGTTGCAGAAAGTCCTAGAAAGTAATAAATTGTGTTTCAATAAAATACATCTTTAAAATCTAGAAAATTGCTTAGTCATACAGGGCACAGGATATATATATATATAAATATATCCGGAATATATATATATATTTTGGAAATAAAAATTTTACTCTTTATAATATTTTATCACCAACGAGTTAGGAATGATTTCGAGATTTTTTTGGGTTTTCATCGCTCTATAATTGGGGAGAAATGATTTTCAGTGAAAAATCGATAAATTTGGACAAAAGGCATCAGAAACTTGCCAACTGAAATCTAATTTCCCCCTCCCCCCCCCTAAAAAAAAACAAAAATAATTTCCCCAGGCCGCAAAGAGGACTAATACTCAAATATATACCCCATAAACAAACATTCAGAGAGCTCCGTTTTTATTTTGAAATATTTGATGACACCTAAATGTTGATCTTGTTGTATTATAGGTATCAGACAACCTTCAACCTTGGTTTGTATTCCTTGAGATGTGTCCTGCTGATCTACCAAGTATATCTCTACCTATCTTCGACAAGGACCAGGACGTTGTCCTTTTCTTTAAATACTACTGTCCCAGGACTAAGAAGGTATCATATTTGTCCTACCGGCCACTGATGTATTTGAAATGGTTAAAGGAATTGAAAACCTCCCCTAAACTCCTTTTCAAATTCTGATATCTTTGCAACCTGGTAGTGTAAACCTTAAATAGTTGAGACTTTGAATGTTTGATCTAGCAGACCTTAAAGTTTGAAATTTTTGAGGTTTATGTCATAAGGTTGCAAGGATACAAGGATTAGAAAATTAGAGGTTCTTTATTGAAACATAAAATCATGAAAATCTATTACTTAGTGTTTTTAAATAACAACTGCGAAACCCGTAATTTTTCTGAATCAGATAATTTTCAACATTATCTAACTATCCTTTGTTAAGGTTCTTTATATGGGACACCAGTATCTACCTATCACAACTAAACTGTCCAGCATTTTACCAAAACTATGTCAGAAAGCGAACCTCCCACCACCTCCACAATCTAAGTAAGATTTTATTATTTTCTGTAATTTTTGAAACAATGAATTTAAAAAAGCTTGCAAGAATATCGCGAAACTAAAACCATGATCTTTTTATGTTTATGTTTACTCCTTGGATTTTGGATGAAAAGATTAATTTTCATGGTAAAATGTAACTGGTGTTCATGCCAGTTAATTTATCCTTTTTTATTTTAGCCCCAATGCATCGAAAATCATATAAATGAAACTGTTTATCTCCGTAAAAGATTGTTGTTTTAGATTAATTCTTTGGGAGGAGATCAAACCTAATATGTTGGAGAAAATAGAGGATGTTGATCAACCCCTAGAGCATATACTCGAGGAGGTACAGGTGTCAATTCAACCTTATTCTTCTTCAGCTTTCCTTTATTCTTTCCTATTCTACTGTACTGTACTATTAGCAGTAATTATGTTGCGTACATTTCATGTATGAAGTGCCTGGCGTTTCTTTCTTGTGTAATTGACTGGAAATATTTTGCGTACATTTCATGTATGGAGTTTCTGGCGTTTCTTTCTTGTGTAATTGACTGTAAATATTTTGCGTACATTTCATGTATGGAGTTTCTGGCGTTTCTTTCTTGTGTAATTGACTGGAAATATTTTGCGTACATTTCATGTATGGAGTTTCTGGCGTTTCTTTCTTGTGTAATTAACTGTAAATATTTTGCGTACATTTCATGTATGGAGTTCTTGGCGTTTCTTTTTTGTGTAATAATCTGGAAATACAATTTTATTTAGTGTTCTCTTTCTTGTAAACTAGATTTTAAACTTGGAGAAAAGCGATATTCCTACTTTTGACCCTGTACACTGTATTTTTTTAATATTTGCTTAATTTATTTTAATATTAATAAGCTATTTATTATGTTTCAGCTGATGGATGGAGATATTATAGTTTATCAGCTGGATCCCCCGGCTGATGCTGATTATGAGCTACCAACAGCACGGGATTATTTCCGTGATCTTTTCTACAAGGTAAACTAAATTTTAATATTTATAATTCTACTTTTTCAAATACATGAAGCATTTCCAATTTTTTGATATTGGTTAAAGAATGGTTTTCAATTAATTTAAATATATCATGAAATACAACGCTTTTGTTTTTTATTTCATGAAAACTAATTCCCGGATTATCTATCCAGGTTGAAGTAAATTTTTGTGATAAAAATCTGCCTAATGATCCCGGGTTCAATCTTCAGCTATCACAGAGGATAAATTATGACCAGGTATTATTTTCTTTAAGTTTGCTAAAAGTACGAACTAACAACTCGACAGTGTGACATACAAAGGGGGTTAAAAAATATTTTTGGGTTCATACATTCTATGGGTGATGTGGCCAGTGCTTAGGATCCATTTAATTTTGATGCGGATTTTGATGCGGATCCGGATCCTGGATCCGCACTGGAAAAAAAGGATCCAAATCCGGATCGAGGTCGACATTTCTTTAAGATTTACTGAATTTTTCAACAAAAAATAATTTTCAAATATTTTGTTTTATTTTTTTCTCTTATTTTTATCCTAAAACTTGATGAACCATTCAGAAATGAGGAAATTTTTATAATCTCTCTTTTTTTCAAAAGTTCAGATTTGGGTTTTAGGAGTAAATTTTTTTTGCAGTTTTTGGTTGATTTTTTGTCCCTTGGATCCGGATCCATGGATCCGCATGTTTTTGCTGATCCGGATCCGGATCCAGGAAGCCAAAATCATCCGGATCCGGATCCTAAGCACTGGATGTGGCCCAATATGAGAACTTTGTGATCAGGTGCAGCAAAGCCTTGATTTTTTTGGAGGTCAATGACCTCCAATTCCAATCTACTTGCACCTAAGTTTATCAAATTAAAACAATACTAAGGGTTGACATTACCCAGAGAACCTTGCACCTTTTGATTCTATGACTTTCCATTATTGGTGTGAGACCCTTTTGTAAATATATTGATTAACAGGGGATCAGGCGATGCTCACTCTGGAGAGGCTTTCAAGTTTTATTGAGGGGGGGGGGGGTCGGTCATTACTGAAAAAAATAGATCCTTGTTAGGACTATTACTGACTCTTTGTTAGAATTATTGTTTGCGACTTACAGACACAGCTAATGTTTCTTTCCGAATTTTCTTTAAGTCAGTTGGGTGGTGACTACAGGTCATTAATCAGTACTTGGACAATTGGCCACACTAGGCTTGTGTCGTAACCGATGGCAACATTATCAGTATTTACGTTTATTTTTGAAAGAGACGCAGTCCTGATTTTTACGATTTTTGGATTATAGTTTGCTTGTTTTTGTTGCTAATTTTTCTTAAAGTCTGTCGATCGATTAATTAATAAATCGGTTTGTGGACTGTTTTTAGAAAATAAATAAATGCAACTCCCCCCCCCCCCCCCCCCCCCCCCCCCCCCGTGGAATTGGAAATTTTAATTTTCTAATCCCGATATCTTTGCAATGTGATGGTGTATACTTTTAATATTTTAAAATACGACTATTTGCTCTAACAGAGTTTGAAATATCAAAGTTGTACGACATCGGGTTGCAAGGATTTTGGGATGGGAGAATTTTGATTTCGTCACAAACATTCGTAAAACTTGCTGGTATTTTTGGAATTTGGATCTCAAACATAATATAATTATTTTATTGATCGATTTTGTTTGTTTGATTGATTGATTGTTTAGTTGGCGAAGAAGGTTGCAGATCAGTTAGAAACAGAACCAGATCTTCTTCAGTTCTTTAAAAGTCAGAGCTATAGAGATGGTCCGGGACAGGCTTTAAGGTAAAATAATTTATCTTCTTTTTATATTTAAAGGGATTATTGACGTAATTTCAAGTCAACCTTCATTTCTAAACTGGCATGTCCGATTCACAATGGTGTTCATAAAAGTTTCTCCTGATCAAATATGAAAGAGATATCCATTTTCACATTGTGGTTTCTCGCTAAGTGAACTTCAGATTTATGCTACAAAAACAGTGGAAGAAATTTTGGTTTTAAACATTTTTATTCTTCGAAAACAACGATTTCTTCCACATTCTTGGTACCATTTTGAATCGGGCTTTTTATTGAATGAAAGGTCACTTTAATTTACGACGACAGTACTTTTATCATGGCTAATATTTCCATATAATTTTTCGTAGATCAAGCACTGAACTTGTATACCTAATTATTGTTTCAAGTGTTAAGGTTTTAAGAGAAAAAAAATCTTAATTCTTTTAAAATCTTCATGTTAAAGGAGGCGTTGCATCTAGGACATTTTTCAATATCTCAGCCAGAAATGATGGTAGCCGGTTCAAGAGGTCCGGAAATAAAAAAAAAAACGGAGCCATCGGAGGATTCAGTCTCCGTCCAGAGATATTGAAGATCTGACTGCATATCATCCTGTTCCTAGATCATTATATCAATTGAGCAATTTTTCAGGTGTAATTTTGAAGGAACTTTGAAGGATATTATTCAATACTTCAGACCGAAACAGGTAATTGCATATTCATTCTTATCTATAGGGTGTCTTCCGAAATATGTTTTCTTGAATAATTAATAATTTTTCCGTTTTTTTTAATAATTTCTTCCAACAATATGTTATGAGTATGAAGATATAAAATTTTGTTAAGAAACACATTCTAGTTGAAATCCCAGTTCTCAATTTAAAAAAAAAACCATTTCCATTTCCATAGGGGGGGGGGGGGGCCGATGTGGAATTCCGGAAAGAAAGGTAAATTTATTAAAGTTTGAAAAATCTGTCCGAATTTTAATTTACTATATTGCACATCTACTACTTCATTACTTGGTAAATATATATATATATTACAATATTATTATATTCTAGACCATTACAACCAAATGGCTTCTCAACTTTGCAGAAATGTCCCCGTGCCCCCCCCCCTTGTCTCTCCTCCTCCTCTCTTCTATCCCAACTTAATGAAACTGTTTTCTGTCCATCAAGCGATGTGAGAAAGTAAATAAAAGAGAGACATTAAAGGGATTTTTATATAAAAGAGACCTTCAACACAAGCTCATTATTTCTTATTATTTAAAAAGGTATGCTGGTCGCTTGATAAAAGTAATGTATTTAGAAAAACTAAAATGTGTCTTCAATAAATTAAGTATTAGAAAGACTTTTTTATAAAGTGTACCTCGAGAGTCTAAACGTAAGAACAAAAAGTTACAGCTCAGTTGCTAAGTTTTGGCTTAAAAGCCGCCCGGACCACTTCTGACTTCACTTAAACTTAAACTTTAAAAACCTAAAACCTATTATTCCCAATTTTTCTATCAATCAATCATCAATCCAGTCCCCAGAGTCTAAAACTAAAAAACGAAAAATTTGAACTCATTATTTTTTAGAAATTTGAGACTGTAGCTTAAACTAATTCATAACTCGATTTTTGCATTTAATTGTCGAACAAAAGTTGAAAACAGGTATATGCGTTGTAATACAAAGATGTAATTTTATGAAAAATAATGTTTCGAATGTCTCTTTAAAACCGTAGAGTGTAAGGTAATGAAACAGAACGAAGTGGATCTAACACAATAGAAAAAGAAATAAAATAGGATTAAAGGAAATTGAATAGAATAAATTTTGTCAAAGTGCACAGTAAAACAAAACTTTTGTTTTATTAACTAATAAAAAAGAAAAAATATCTTCTCTATTACTTATTACTAAGGTAAAATAGAGACACAGAATTATTCAGAATACAGCCAACTACTATTTTATTAACTAAAACTAAGATATTTAAGTACTGCAATTAATAAAAGTTCTTATTGAAATATTTTGAATTAACGGAGTTTTTTGAAAAAGGGCTTTCGAGAATCGTACATTTCGGTAAACCCTTGCAATGCATATTACTTTTCTCAACTTTATTCAATTCTATTCAATTTTAATCTTATAACAGCTTTTATATTTCATTCTTTTTTGTTTGAATTTAATTTATTCTTTTCACTTGTAAATTTCATCGTTTTACAACTTGCATGGAAACTGAAATTAAATTCTGAGTTGAAGCTTTTTTCCTAGTGTCTTCTTTACACGAAAAAAATTGACATTGTTTTTTTATTTGGATAGTAACTTTTGTATTCTAGGTTGAAATATTTGTATTCAAGGTGTAACTATTAGTATTCAAGGTGTAACTGTTTGTATTCTAGGTGTAGCTATTTGTATTCTATGTGCAACTATTTGTAATCTAGATTTAACTTCTGTATTCTAAGTTGAAATATTTGTATTCATGGTGTAACTATTTGTATTCTAGGTGTAACTATTTGTAATCTAGATTTAACTGCTGTATTCTAAGTTGAAATATTTGTATTCATGGTGTAACTATTTGTATTCTAGGTGTAACTATTTGTATTCTAGGTGTAACTATTTGTAATCTAGGTGAAACGTGTATATTACCAACGTCTACAGATCTCTATAAGTGAACTAGAGAATAAGAAACAGTTCAAATGTCTCTGGATCTCCAGTAATCTCAAGGAGGAGAAGGAATTAGTTCTTTATCCCAACAGGTATTTGAATCATGCCAAGTTCCACACAATACTTTTTCCCTATGGACTCGTTATTTTAATGTTATTGTGAACAATTAAAAGGTAGTATATATTGAAAACTTTTTAGGAAACGCTTGAACCTTTTTCGTGTTTTTTACAACTTTTTAATTTTTCCTCGCACATGACGGGGGGGGGGAACTTTTTGGAACATGCTGGAGGTTTGGTGATTTTCAGGATGATATATGCCCTCATGTAGAAATGACCAGATATACTTGTCTATTTCATTTTAACTCTGACCTTTGTTGCACTGCAAATATTCTTTGCATGTATTTTATACTGACACAAAATGGAAATGATAAAATAGGCATTTGCATGCAAGTATTTTTGCCTTTTTTCGTGTCCCAGAATCATTTGTTTTTTCTCAAAAACTTTAAATTCAGTTTTTATTTTGTTCTAGAAATTCCAATGTTGGCGACTTATTCGTGGAAGCTCTTCGGAGTGGTCAGCTTGATCTCCCTGAGACTGGAGGAACGAAGAAACTTCGTCTTCTTGAGATAATCTCAAACAAGATCTTTACAATCTGCGGGGAGGAGATATCCTTAGATGTTTTACTTTCAGCACAGGTGGATAATGTATATAAATTTTAAGGTCCGTCGAGTCTGTTTTATTCATTCTGACATCGTAGTGTTTTTTTTCTGGCTTAAAGGGACAGACCGGCTATGTAAGGTAGTTGAACTGAGAATGCAGTTTTGTGGACAAATTTTTAAGGATTCATTTGAGACATGTAAAACTTTTAAAAGATATGTATATCCTGAGTTTGAGCGAAAAGTCGACGTTCAAAATCGTACGTTTTCAGAATTTTTTTATTTTTAATTATTAAATAACGATGACAAAAAATGTAAACAAAATTCTACAGCAAACTAATTAGTTGTTGGGAACAGGTTAAGAAAATCAAAATTAATCTCACGAAAATATGTAATCTTATTCAATTATTAGTTTCTATAATCTCTCAATTATTCAAAAAGATTTTCTGCAGATTTTCTGGAATTTTTATCGAAAAGACGACATTTGAAGAATTTGTAGAAATCTGCGAATAAATTCATAGAAAATAATAAATTTAATGTAATGGTGAAAACGAAATAATTGATTCTAGCATTTATTTATTGACCAATTTCTTATGAGAAATATGTTCCTAACCCTCTAATTAGTTTACTGTATAATTTTTACTTTATTTTTCGTCGTTGTTATTTAATAATTAAAAAAAAATCTTTTCTGAAAACGTACCCACCAAAATTCACGATTTTTAAGTCGACTATGCAGTCAAATTCAGTAATTATACATCGTGAAAACGTTTTATATATCCTAAAGAATTTGTCCACAACACTACATACTCAGTTTAACTACCTTACATAGCCGGTCTGTCCCTTTCATGATACCTTTTAATTCTACAAAAATAAATAAGATCACTTCTTAACCTATTAAAAGGTCATACGCTATCATTAAATGTAACTCCAATTTGACATTTTTCTTGCATTTACAGTCAAAGTAAGGAATGAGAAGACTGTCAATTTCATTTTAAGAGTTATAAGTCTGATTTGAATCGGTGTCCTTTACTTCTTTATCTGATATACAATGAAAATGATATTGTTGTTTTTCTCTCCTTGAAAAAAGATAAATTATGTCAATTTTCTCCTTGTAAGCTGTTGCATAAATCAGCAGGAATGTTTTATAGAATTACTGCAATAATGATATATTAATGATATTTGCACAAAAAATTATCACTTTTGAATCGACTATGAAATTGTTACTGTATGGTCTCTTGAAATTATGCCGATAGTTACTTTAACAATTTTAAAACTTAATCAAATATCACCCGTATCTACATAAACCTTTGAAATTTGTATGATAACATCTTTTAAGTATTGTTTAGCTGTCACTCTTTAGTCTTTACAGTCAACTGAAAACCCTGTTAAGACAGATTATATATCAAAAAATAATTATTAGCTCTATTAGTGTTTACATAATTTTGTTCATTTGCGCACCAATGTATCTTGTTAATTTTGGGATGGAGTTTTTTTTGTTTTTCATCAATTCTAAATTTACGGATTGGATTATTATCAATGTGAGTAATCTGCTTCAGCGATAACCAGAAATCCATTTGCTTAGGATTTGTTATTTGCAATTATTGTAAATAAGCTAAAAAAAATCAGCGCACTATATAGAGATTTTTGTAGCCATAATTTCATGATTAAAAGGAAAAAGAAATTTACAGATTTCTGTTTCGACTGGATATCATTGTAGAAATATTGCCTACTGTAGTGCCGATGTACATTGTTTACCTGTGGACTGTTTAGGGTGGAGCTACGAAAAGTTTTCGTCTCGAGGAAATACCAGCTGATGAACTAATCCTGGGAGAAGGAGAAATATTGGTTCCTGTAGCACATTTTAGTAAAGAGGTTTATACCACATTCGGCTCACCTTTCCTAATTAAGGTTAAAACGGTAAGGAACACAGCGTTATTTACGAAATGGGGGGTGGGGTATTTTTTCATTCGATTGAATAATTTTTGTTTTATTATATTTATATATTTTTGGTATGATTAAATATGAATTTTACCAGTTCTCAGGATTTTAATGCCGATCCGGATACGGACACTGTATCACGAATACTTAATCCGGATACAATTCCTGGATTCGGATACAATTCCTGGACCCGGATACAATTTCTGGATCGGGATACAATTCCTGGATCTGGATACAATTCCTGGATCTGGATACAATTCCTAGATCTGGATACAATTCCTGGATCTGGAGATTAAGTCCTGGATCTGGATACAATTCCTGGATCTGGATACAATTCCTGGATCCGGATACATTTCCTGGATCCGGATACAATTCCTAGATCCGGTTACAATTCCTGGATTAGGATACAATTCCTGGATTCAGATACATTTCCTCTATCCGGATACAATTCCTAGATCCGGATACAATTCCTAGATCCGGATACTATTCCTGGATTAGGATTTAATTCCTGGATCTGGATTTAATTCCTGGATCCGGATACAATTCCTGGATCCGGATACAATTCCTGGATCCAGATACAATTCCTGGATCCGGATATAATTCCTGGATTAGGATTTTATTCCTGGATCCTGATACAATTCCTGGATCCTGATACAAATCCTGGATCCGGATACAATTCCTGAATCCGGATACAATTCCTGGATTAGGATTTAATTCCTGGATCTGGATACAATTCCTGGATCCTGACACAATTCCTGGATCCTGATACAATTCCTGGATCGGGATACAAATCCTGCATCCGGATCCGAATACAATGCCTGGATCCGTAAAGTTTAAGTAATTTCTTTTACAAAAATAGATTCGAAATATTTTCCTTTTTATCGCTATCTATTGCCGAAACTTAAGTGATCTTTAAAATATAAGGAACTTTACCATTCTTTCATTGAAATTCTGATTTCTGATTTTGGTGAATATTTTGTATCTTGGATTCCTCCTCTTTTTCTGATACGGATCCTAATCACTGTTCTCCCTACCTACCCCGCCCGCCCCCCCCTTTACACACTTTGTTTTTGTCTTCCATTTTGTTGCAAAGCATCATGCAATGTTTCCTTTAACTTTTCACCATAATTTTTAGTAGTAAAACATACAGGATTTAATCTTATTTTATTTATAGCCTCGGGGAGTAAATTAGGATCACATACAAGAGTGAATATCTGTATCCATTTTATATTTATTGTATTAGTGGGATACAGTGGAGAGTATAAGAAGAAAGATACAGGAAAGAATATCTACACTATTTAAATTTTTTGTATCAGGGCGATACAGTGGAGATTACAAGAAGAAGGATACAGGAAAGAATATCTGTATCTATTTTAATTTTTTGTATCAGGGCGATACGGTGTGGAAATGATAAGAAGAAGGATACAGGAAAGAATATTTGTATCTACTTAAATTTATTGTATTTGTGGGATACAGTGGAGAGTATAAGAAGAAGGATAAAGGAAAGAATATCTGTATGTACTTAAATTTATTGTATTAGGGGGATACAGTGGAGAGTATAAGAAGAAGGATACAAGAAAGAATATCTGTATGTACTTAAATTTATTGTATCAGGGGGATACAGTGGAGAGTATAAGAAGAAGGATACAAGAAAGAATATCTGTATCGGACAAGGAATGGGAAAAGTATCGGCTGGCTGTTGTACTCAATATGAAACCTCTTTACTTTGAGGAAAATGAGAATAAACACTTGGATATCAAGGTAAACTAGGATATTCACCTTTACCGGCTGTATAACAAGTACTCAAATAATGTACACCAACCAATGCTACCCTGTACTTTACAGAAGTGTTTATTAATCTATACATTCTACATTAATCTCTACGCTCAACACTGATTTCTATATTTAAATTTTACATTAATCTGTTCATTTACTTTAATCTGTACACTGTAAATTTATCTGTACACTGTACATTAATCTTAGCACTGTACAATTATCTGTACACTGTACATTAATCTGTACTCTGTACATAAATCTCTATTTTACAAAAATATGTACGCTGCACATTAATCTGTACGCTGTACATTATTCTGTACACTTCAAATCAATATGTACACGACATTAATCTGTATATTCACATCAATCTCTACACTGTACATTTATCTGTACATTGTACATTAATCTGTACATTGTACATTAATCTGTACATTGTACATTAATCTGTACACTGTACATTAATGTGTACAATGTACATTAATGTGTATATTTTTCATTAATCTGTACAGTGTACATTAATCTTTACGCTGTTCATTAATCTGTACACTGATTAATTTGTATATTTTGCATTAATCTGTACATTTTAAATTAATCTGTGCACTTAACTTTTTTCTGTACACTGTACATACATTCGTACATTATCTTAATCTGTACACTGTACATAAATCTGTACACTATACATTAATCTGTACACTGTGAAAGGGAGTGACTGGCAATGTATCGTAGTTGAACTGAGAATGTAGCATTGTGTAGAATTTTTTTAGGATTCATTTGAGACACATAAAACTTTTTACTGATGTACATTGTACAATTACTTAGTTTAAGGACAAAGTCGACGTTCAAGATCATCCATCTAGGTGGTTACGTTTTGAGAAACGATTTTTTTAAAATTATTTAATAACGTCGACGAAAAATGTATTGAAAATTCTACGGTAAACTAATTAAATGTTTAATAATATATTTCTCAATAGAAATTTGTCAATAAATCAATTATTTCTTTCTCATCATTATATTGAATTTCTTATTCTTCACGATTTTGTTTGCAGATTTCAAATTCTTCAAATGTAGTCTTTCCAAAAAAATTCCAGAAAATCTACAGCAAATGTTTGGGAACAAAGAGATATTACAGAAACCAATAACTGATACGAGTTAATTATTATATTCTCAACATGTTCCTTAACAACAAATAAGTATACTGTCGAATTTTGTTAAATTTTTCGTCGTCGTTATTAAATAATCTTTAAAAAATGATTCTCAATACGTAACCACCCAAATAGATGATTTTGAACATCGACTTTGGGTTCAAACTCAGTAATTACAAATGATTAAAACGTTTTATATGTCTCCAATGAATCATAAAAAAAATCTTCACAATACTACATTCTTAGTTCAGCTACAATACATTGCCGGTCACTCCCTTTAATAAACCATTTCACTAACTGTACACAGTGTACAGTGTCAAGAATTCATACATTTATTTATTTGTTAATATTTCATACTTGCGATAACGTTAATTTCCACGGATTTATTTGAGGCTTTAAAAAGGATTTTGATAATTTAAATAATCCATTCTGTTTTTACAAGCATGGATCAAGTTTACTAGTGTATGTATTATGCATCCCATTTACTTTATTATATTGGATTTTAAACCCACTGGATTTACTATATACCAAGGGTGGATATTCTTCCTTTCCAGAAATACATTTAGTTTACACTCCACTGTAACATTCTCCCAAAAGACTACGATTTTCGCCCTAGAAATTACTACATTTATGAACGTTTTAATATTATTTTTTAGTTCTTATTATCCATCATTATAGTTTATTTTCATCATATGTGAAAAGAATACCTTTATTTCAATTTTAAACAACACAAATTAATATGTATTCGCACGGGATGTATTTATGTATTCTATGTACAGATATTAACGTGCATTATTGTACAGGATTTCCGTGGTGTACCTCAGTACGGTAGCTCATCAGCTGGTCGACCCTGGATAGGTTTAGAACACGCTAATAAGGTCAAATATTTACATCATCATTTGCCTGGAAACTTATATATTTTTAAATAATCCACAAATACTAATCCGGACCTCTTAGATTAGCTCTATCTCATACAAAAGTTTAGACCTTAGGATTTGTTTTACTGCAGCTGTAATCCTGTTTCGAAGTTCATTGAAATATTATTTTTACTTCAATGTATTTTATAGAACAAATAACAAAATATACGTTATTTGATCAAAATTTCAAAGATTTTAGAGAAATTGCTTAAATTTTGATTTCGATATTTTATATTTGGACAGGTTTCGGAAATTATTTTTATATTTATATTTTAATCATTCAAATCCCTGATTTCTACTGAAAACCCTTAGTTTTGCCTTTTCTGAATCTAGATACATTCTTATTTTTTTTTACCTCAGTATTCTTATTTCTATTTCCAAATCTGTGTCCACTATAAATTGGTATTTCTTTCTTCAATTTATTCCTGATTGGCAATAACGGTGCAATATCTGGTCATGTCGTTTCTTCAGTATTTTGTATTTTATATATTTATTGTATTATATCTAGGCAAATAAGAGATCCCGCTACAGCTATACAGAGAAAGCAATCAAGATCTACAACTAGACTCCCTCCCCTCCATCACATCTTTCATCTATAATCCATACTACTCACACACTTTATCTTACCTCCTGGTTCTCTCTGTCCCACTCTATACTCACTCCCTGGTCATACCTGTCATCTATACTCACTTACCCCAATGGGCCTTTTTGTCCTACTCTGTACTCATCCCTTGGTCCTATCTGTCCTATTTACTCACCCTACCCTCTGGTCCTGTGTGTCCTACTCTTTACTCAACCTCTGGTCCTGCGTGTCCTCTTACCGTATTTTGAAACCCCGCGTGAAATTCCAATGTATTTAAATTATTTTCCTATTTATATATTCCTCAACGATATATGACTATATATGTATGTGTTGTCAGGTTAAAATGACGTAGTGTGCAGTAAGCTCAAACTGTTTATTTTAGTTGTCAGTATGCCCATTGTAATGGGGGGGGGGGGGNTTTTAGATTTTTGCCAGAAAAATGGAGGCTTATTCACAACCACTTTAATCCATAAAATTGGTAATTAATATCCAGCTGAAGTTGGCTTCCAAATCAACAGTCAAACGAACTTGAAATTAAATGTTTTTGAGGTGTTAAAACTAACAACATCATTTAAAAGGGGTATTAGCTAAAAGAAAAGGGCGTATAGGATTACTCATAGGTTTCAGGATTCATATAAAGCTCAATCATTCTACAGCCGAACATTTTTACGCCAACTCTCTTTTAATAAATTCACATATATTATTTTGAATGGGTTAAGTGGAACAATCGATATCAAATGTTTCGGCAATAATTTATTAAATAACTTTTTTTAAACTAAAAAAACAGAGCATGTCCTGAAAGAATATTAAAAAAGTATAAGATGTTTTTTAGCTTGTTACCTATTCGCACACTCTAATTATATATTTCTAAATTGTTCATTCAAAGATATTTATGTTTGAAATTCTTCCCTAACATTGGATAAAGCCGCATTTCTTTTTTATATTTTTTTAATCCCTGACTTGAACAACTCCCTCGTATTTATTGTTAATTTTGAATCAGTTCGCTAAATATATAGTATTCATACTAATACTTTATTTTTTTCCTATTCTAAATAACCCGGAAAATATAAATAAAATAAAATAAAACCATGAAAATTTCTCTTTCTGAAAAGCTCGAAAACGGCCTACCAGATTTTGGAAGGGACGGAGAATGAATATTGTGAAAAATCTGCCGTTTTAAACCTGTGAACTGCAAATAGAGAATATAAAACATAATTTCAACAGTTGCGGAGTTTTTACCTACCTAGAACTTACATTAATTGAAAGTTTACGCGAAAATATATTTTGAGATCTAATTTTATTGTTAATAGCACTGAGCTGTAAACTTTAGAATGAGATATCCTTAATCCCAATTACTTAATCTGGGTATTCAATGGACATACTTGATTTTTTCTTAATTCTCTCTTTTTGGATATTTCTACTGTATAAAAATTTCTTTTGATAACAACTACAGATACAATGCTATATCGATTGGACTAATAAACGATTGAACTAAAGTCTGCTGTTAACAAGCGGGCTTTTAGAGCATTCAAACAAATATAAATTTAATTATGTTAATAAAAAACTTTTTATCACACATTTAAGGACTATAGTCATTTTGAACGTTAGTAAACATTAATCCAAAACTTGCGTCCGTTCAATCAATCTTTAGTTCAATTGATGTAACACCATCAACACCAGAAATGCGTAAAAAATAAAAACCGGTTTTTTTAAGTTAAAGAGCGAATCTTAACATGACTCATTGATTGGTTAAATTTTAAACTTTATTGGAAATCATGTGTATTAACCTTATCTCGGATTTAGTAAAACCAGGAGATCAAGCATTGATCTCGATATCCACCATTCTAAAGCTTTCATACTAAAAAAACTGAGCAAACTTTTGACGCCTGAGATGCACAATAAACACAACGAATATCGATTCTACAATTTTACATGTTAACAGTTTTTTAAAGACTTTAGTCTAAATCAATTCTCTAAATAGATGGTGTATCTTTCCACCTTCGCATATACGCTATAGTAAGCTTCTGACCTACGTATTATCCGCTATACTACACTTCCTGACCTACCAGAACGTGGTCTTACAGCTGCTAGCACTCTAGCACTCTAAACTCAACAACCATAAGTCAACACCCTATACTCAACACTCTAATCTGATCATCTATACTCAACACTTTAAACTGATCACCCTATACTCAACACTTTAAACTGATCATCTATACTCAACACTTTAAACTGATCACCCTATACTCAACACTTTAAACTCTATATTCAACACTTTAAACTGATCATCTATACTCAACACTTTAAACTGATCACTCTATACTCAACATGCTAAACTCAACACTCTTAATTCAATACTCTACATCAAAAACTAAACTTATCATGAATGGATTAAATATCTATTAGTATGAGTTTACATCTTGGTTAAATAATTATCATCAATGGACTAAATATTAATTAGTTTACATCTTGGTTAAATAATTATCATCAATGGATTAAATATTAATTAGTTTTCATCTTGGTTAAATAATTATCATCAATGGATTAATTATTAATGAGTTTTCATCTTGGTTAAATAATTATCATCAATGGATTAAATATTAATTAGTTTATATCTTGGTTAAATAATTATCATAAATGGATTAAATATTAATTAGTTTTCATCTTGGTTAAATAATTATCATCAATGGATCAAATATTAATTAGTTTTCATCTTGGTTAAATAATTATCATCAATGGTTAAATGTGGCCGCAGCGCCAGGCTTCTTAGCCGCGGCGCTCGGCCAAGAAATTTTTATTATCTAACCCTCAACTGATACCAAGTAAGCAGCTGTCGTAGGTCCGATATTTTCAGTAGGTCAGAAGTTCAGTAAAGGGGATATTGCGCATAAACGATGTAAATTTACCTTTTCCAGTTTTGAACTTATTTTGTTGAGAGCCAAAACTGATGGAGGTATTGAGAAATTTGTCCAAATACAAAACTGTTCTAATATTTAGTATCGCCGTCAATTTTAAAGAGAGAAAGAATTGGACTTCCACATTTTGGAAAGCTCAGGAGACGAATAATTTTTTTAAAAACACTATTGATAGTGTATCTATTATCTGAAATTAAAGACGATTTTAAAGTCGTCTCTTAATTCCCATGTTTATTGGGACACTCCGTGGTGACTCTCTTTTGATATTTGATGCCAGTAAACTAATCGGATTAGTTTTTGAAGATAATCTCAGATAAGATAAGATCTGGAAGCTTTTGTTCATATTTTTGATGATATTGAACAGTATGCTTACTGGTTTGATGTAAATAACCAATATTGATATATATCATATATTCACAGTAACAATATACAGACAGTCCAATCTAAATATATGAATATATTAATCATAATACAATATATCATTTCTATTTTACTACATTGAGAGTCCAAATGAACAAGGAAACTAAAAATTTCTAATTTGGTGGCAAACACAAATTCTTAATCCTTGCATTCTAATTATTATAATATTGTCAAATTTATCTTTGACTGAATTTTAATCATTTTCATTCAGACGAATGCAGTTCTAATTTTTACTGCCTTTTGACCAATATTTCTTACATCACGTCCCTTGGGACAATTAAGTAGAATTTACATCTTCTAAATTGTGTACAACTTTTTCGGGAAATTAAAAAAACTTACTTAACCACTGGTTCCTCTAACTGCCCTGGAAAGTAGTTGTTAAGAATTAAACTTTAGAATTTGTAATTGGTACCTGGAAAAAAACGTAAGTCGTAATTTTCAAATAATCCTACCTATTTAAGATTTACATGTCCCTCCCCCTCAAAATAAAAATTCTGGATAATCCCTCCCTCCTCCTATTTTTACTTTATTCAGGTCCAAGATTTAAGAATCTCTTTATTTTGTCTCAAATCCTTTAAAAAGTCGAATCCGATTCTCATCTTTAACTTGAAATATATTTCTTTATTGTTCGTGGATAATCTCTAAACCAGGTTTAGGAAAAGAAATTCACAAGATTTAAAATTCATTTTGATAATTGGAAATTTATAAGTGAACAAAAATTAGCTGAACTTAAATATAAATGAAAAAGGCCTTTCAGGACATTTGAGATGCCCCCTCCCCCCCCCCCTCCGTTCCCCTCAGTTTCAGATCCAGTTTACACCCTTGATAAACAGTTTATTATTCCATTATAGACAAGTAGGTCTAAACGGATCCAATGCTTAATAGAAAACAAATTGTTTTTATTTCTCATTCTCCGTCTTTCATCAAAGTTTATAATGTAAAGAATACCATATTAAATCAAAAGATGATTTTAATCTTCATCTCTGTACTGTCAGATATTTGTTAATTTTCATTTTATCTTTTTTTAAATCTAAAATGTCAACGGTGTTGTTTTTGTAGTCATTTCTTTTTAAAACTATTTATAAAGTAAAATTTGGTTAAGCTAAAATGTAATCAAGAATAAATAAATCGGCGTGAACTGCAGATCTCATAGTGGAATGCGAACCACATAAAATCTGCCTCTGAGCCACAATTTCCTTAGTTTTTTCGTTCAAGGGATCACTTAATGCGTCATGGCACGTATCTAATTTTCAACCCCTTTAATCAATAGTAAACCCACATTTCCTCAGATTAAGATAAAAGTTCGAACAAATAAAACCAGGACACTTGTTCCAAAAATAGATAATTGATTTCTTAATCTAATAAAATTGTATTTATTTATAATTTGTGACGTATGTTAAAGCTAAAGAAAAACTAGTTTGAAGTCTAACCTTTGTGTTGTGAATCTCGGGAGCAAGTATTAATCTCCTTATAATGCCGATCTACGCATTAATTTTATTCCTTGCTGATATCCCGTGGTGTTCATATCCTGGAGGGACAACTTTAATTAAAGGATCAAGTAGTGATCTCCTTATAATGCCGATCTACGCATTAATTTTATTCCTTGCTGATATCCCGTGGTGTTCATACCCTGGAGGGACATAAAGGATCAAGTAGTGATCTCCTTATAATGCCGATCTACGCATTAATTTTATTCCTTGCTGATATCCCGTGGTGTTCATACCCTGGAGGGACAATTTTAATTAAGGGATCAAGCAGTGATCTTCTTATAATGCCGATCTACGCATTAATTTTATTCCTTGCTGATATCCCGTGGTGTTCATACCCTGGAGGGACAACTTTCATTAAGGGATCAATCAGTGATCCTCTTTAAAAATTCCCACTTTGGATATCGAGATTAAGCGTTTAATATTTACATTATAATAATGATCTACAGGGGCTTAGGGATACCTACTTGTGCCTACCTTTTGCTTGAAATCCTAATTGAATTGAAGATTACTACATTTAAAACTACATGCTAGTATAAATAATTTGCTTTTATTAAAATATGCTAAAAAAGTATCGTAAGAAAAATATATAGGGAAAAATATAAATGGAAAAAAACTGACCAAAAACGATCTGAGATTTTTGTGAACACTTTGTAAAACTTAAATATTTTATTAAAACAAACCAAGTTGTTGCTAGGGTTTCCAATCGGAATTCAGTTGCGCGGAATTGTGCCTAATTGCGCAGAGTTTACAGCTCGCAATTGTAAAATCCACTTGCGTTGGAAACCCTGATTGTTGCCCATCATAATCTCTAGTAATTAAATCATAACTTGATTTTTGAAATCCAGTTCCATATCGGATCAATTATAGATGAATATATGGAATTGCAAATTGGTAAAGTTAAAACTATTTTCACAAACTCAAAGAGAAAGTTCAGTTCTTTATGCA